AGATGATACTCGGATCCAGGCTCATGGTACCGTGTTCGAATCCCGGGGCACCCAATCTTTTGTTCCGTACGCATGTGCGTTCGTCAAGGGGTGCATGGCTCTGATAGTGCAGTCTGTAATCAGCTAAGTAACGTCGATTCCAAGTTATAAGTTTAAACTTAATTAGCCTCGACGTAGGACGAAGTTCATGATGAACTACGCCCTGCACTTTTGCTGTCGTAAGGGGACTACGTTGATTCCCGATTATAAGTTTGTTGAGAACAAAACCTGCCCGTCATCATTCAGTAGAAGGATGGTTTAAAGCCATCCTTTTCCTGACCGATGGCGTCAAACTTTTGCTGAGGTCAGTAATTGGGTTGATAGTTTTGTTTGCACAAGACTTATCAGCCATTGGTGAGTAGGAAGTTGGGTCAAAAACTTGAACCATCTTTCTCCTCCCCAATGGCACACACACTTTTGCTGAGGTCGGCAAGTAGTGCCCCTTTTAACTAACGTTCAGTTACGAAATATAAGTTTATTTCGGAACGTTTGGGGTAGGGCAAATGTGGACTAAAGGGTGGCCTGAGCAGTATGCTCAACGCACCAGACACCCGCATTCCACGCAGCCCCTTTTTGCTAACGTTAATCTATAAGTTTATTTTAACGAGACAAGTGTCAGGGTCGGCGTAACAAAGCGTCTGGGCAAACCGTTCAACGCTGAGTTCGTCGACTCTTTTTGCAGACATCATAAGTTTGTTTTGTCTAACTCGCATTGTTTGTCCGTAACCAATCAAGTTAAAAATAGGGTTACACCGCCAAACAATGCGGTAGCTGACGTTGCACAAGTCTGCTCAACTCAGTGTGATTTCATCCGATACCAATGCGGCTAAGTTCATACCTCGTGAGGTTGACTTTTTGCCGTCGATGATCTTTTCAATTCCGCGGTGAAGTCTGCGTCGCTCGATGCGTCGCGCGGAACCGGAATTAGACCGGCGGTCACTGTCCACCGTACGATCGGACCCACACAAATTATATCCACTGGTTAACCAGTGTTTATAAGGTAAAATTAATTGACTTGTTTCATGGTACAGGGTGACCAGAAGCAAGCCCGGTGCTGAGTGATGGGCTAGGCAGATTGCTACAGCCC